AAATCTCAAGATTATGTTTTTATATATAATATAGAATAGAATAGGATTGTATTACTCTATTTTATAATATTAGAATAGAATAGAAATTTTAACCTATAATTATAGTACGAATAGGAAAGTAGAAAATAATATATTATATTAGAAAGAGAGATTTTTTTTATGAATTGGGCGGAAAGTTAAAGTTCAGGATATATATATATATATATATATATATATATATATATATATATATATATATATATATATATATAGGATTGCATTACTCTATTTTTGCTCGCATGGGTAGCTCAACTGGTCATAGAGGTGAAACTTTGGAAGAATGACCAGGGATCGAGTCTCACCAGCGGCAGTGTGGGAGCGACCTAGCCTCTGTGGTTCATGTTCAGTTGTGTCACCATGATTTACATCCTCCCAAATGCTCTGTCAGGCGGGGTGTGGGGGCAAATAGCAATTTTAACCTAGAATTATAGATATATATATATATATATATATAGTATAGAAGTATATATAGATTAGAATAGGATTGTATTACTCTATTTTATAATATTAGAATAGAAATTTTAACCTAGAATTATAGTACGAATAGGAAAGTAGAAAACAATATATTATATTAGAAAGAGAGATTTTTTTATGAATTGGGCGGAAAGTTAAAGTTTAGGATTTTGTTTTTATAAATAGTATAGAAGTATAGATTTGAATAGGAATTTTAACCTAAAATTATAGTACGAATAGGAAAGTAGAAAACAATATATTTTATTAGAAACATACATTTTCTATGAATTGGACGGGAAGTTAAAGTTCACGATTTTGTTTTTATATATATAGTATAGATATAGTATAGATTAGAATAAAAATTCTATTACACTTTTTTCAAGGACTCTTTATTCACAAGTTGATTTCCTTAACTTTGTTTTAGATTATTCTTTATGATTGTTGATTACTCTTTTGTTTTATTTTAATTGTTTAATTAATTCCTCATAATATATTTAGGCTAGATAATACTAGCATTTGTAGTCATTGTGGGATACGAACACTACTTGCTTCATTAGATTTGTATAGTTAAAATTATTGGGTATCGAGAATCTAATTTGACACAAAATGCATAGAAAGTATGCCAAAAAAAAAAAAAAAAAAAAAAAAAAAAAAAAAAAAAAAAAAGCTAAACAGATACCTAAAGTGTATGTTTAATCAATAGCTAGTTGGTTTGTCGTCGACTTAAAAGTTATGATTGAAAATAACATGTGTGGATTTGAATCCCACTAAAAATATGCACCAAAAAAAATGCTCAAGAACATGCGCACATGACTGATTGTGCAACTCACATGATTCCCATTAGTCTGAACTCCACCACTCTTAATATCTTAATCTTAATAATAATAATTAAAAGAAGAGTACGTTAATGAGAATCTCTATAGTCTGTGGGAAGTGGGAACAATAATTAAAAGAAAATTACGGAGTACCCAGTATTATTTTATGTGATGACACTTATATATTATTCTTATCCTAAAGGAAAGAAAATTACGGAGTACCCAGTATTATTTTATGTGATGACACTTATATATTATTCTTATCCTAAAGGAAAGAAAATTACGGAGTACCCAGTATTATTTTATGTGATGACACTTATATATTATTCTTATCCTAAAGGCCCAAGGAATCTATTCACTTTGAACAAAATTTTCATATTGTCGCCGTTGAAGTTCGAACCTTGGTCTCTTATCTCAAATACTGCCCACTAAACTATTGAGCGAAGCTCGTGCGGCTAATTATTATTATTCTAAATAAATGGATGATGACAGAGCAAATACTTTGGGCTGGGAATCAGTATATAATAGAGCATATGGTACTTTTTTTAAGAATTAAGAGTGTTACAAATGATTTTATAGTTTAGTGGCACTAAATGACTCTTCTAAATAAAAAGATATGGGTTCTGGATTCAATACCCAATGAGATAATATTTAACTCTTTGTGTTTGAGTAATTTGAAAAAATAATTATGAACAGATACATACTACATTGTAAGAGTTAAATCCCATCCATAATTTAGACCTTACCCATATCTCATCTTTGCAGCTATACTCGTCTCATTTCTTGCTCAGTAAATGCCCAGATCTGAGTTTCAGAAACACTTGAGAATAGTTGAATCAGAAACACTTGAGAATAGTTGAATCAGAAACACTTCATAACTCAAACCTTCAATCTGATATTACCCAAACCGGATTCACTAACTCCATCTCGACCGGACTTAGCTTCTTCAAGGTATGTTTCATACTTTTTCCCGCTTGACTTGAAGAATTCCTTTTTTACTTTGATAGAGTTTAGCATAACTCACTCACCATTACACTTTCCCTCTCAATTCCTTTGCTTTTTAATTGTAATTTTTTGAGTTTGATAATTCAATCTCATATTCACTATCTTATTTAAGCAGTATCCCTTAAACTTTCTTAAATTTCTCATCAATCAAGTGAACATGGAATCTTTCTTGAAATTTAAATTTTATCCAAAGATACCAATCAATCAATTCAATCATACCATCAGTTGCTTTTGAGAAGACTGACCATAATTTCCACCAACAATAATTCATCAAATCAGATCTCTCTTTCATCTCTGCTCGCTCAATTCAGAAACAGCTCAGATTAGTTCAATTAAATAAGGTATGCATATATGTTTCATACTTTCTCCAACATCACTCACTTCCTTTTCTGCTTTCATATATATATATATAGTTTAGCATCACGTTTTGCCCTCTCAATTCCTTTATCTTTTGCTGCAACATATTTATTTAATAACTAAATTCATAGTATATATTTATCTCATTTTCATTGTGTAGACATGGCCTTTATTTATTTATTTTATTTTTTTTATGTTTTGTTTATCAGTTTAAGTTATGTTTAGCTTTTGTTTTAAAATTAGCCTTTGCGGCTTGTGGCCGTGGCCTGCTGGCCATAGACCCCATCGTTATATCATGGACCGCGGTGCACGTGCATTGCGATTAAAACGGTGCCGTTTTTTTAAGTAAAAAAACGGCGCGTCGTTATTGTTAACGGAGCGTGCATTTTTTGGTGTGTTAATTACAAGCTGAAACTACAGTGTATCTAAACCGACACTGTCTCATGTATTATTTTTATATTATCAAATGAAACTGCAATTATATCAAAATGATACTGTAGTTGTGATGATATGAAACTGCAGTGTATATAAAATGAAACTGAATAACATTTCACATATTTGAGTGTATATTTGTGCAATGAAGCTGTAATTATATCGAAATGATCATGTAGTTGTGTTTTAATGAAACTATAGTGTATATAAAATAAAATTAAATAACATTTTCACATATTTGAGTCTATAAATATCGATTAAAACTGTAGTTATATTGAAATGAAATTGAATAACAGAGTTTCTTTTTGCGGAAGGGTGCGGAATGGCGCGAAACGGATGTCGTTTCTTTTTATTAAACAAAACGACGTCGTTTTGAAGTTCGGTGCATAATCGATTATGCACCGCAGTGCACGATGTAATTTGCACCATAGGCCACCTGACTTTATTTTATTTTATTTTTTTTTAAATTACGGTTCTGGAACCGGAACCGTCCAGTTCCAGAATTCTTTAAACCGGAACAGGAACCGGAACCTTTGAATTTCGGTTCTTAACCTGAACCAGAACCGAACAGACGGTTCCAGTTTCGTTCGGTTCTAATAGTGCACGGTTCGGTTTGAACCGAACAGTGGTCATCCCTATCATTGTGTGATATATATATATATATATATATATATATATATATATATAGAGAGAGAGAGAGAGAGAGAGAGAGAGAGAGAGAGAGAGAGAGAGAAGGGGGGGGGGGGGGGGGTGTGATGTTCACCGGTAAGAACATGAAAACTAATTTGGTGCATTAAAAAAGACATATTTGGGATTCAAATGAATTCATGGAATTAAAAACGTGCATGTGTGTATGAAGCGTTATGATGTGTGAATATTACACATGTGTCCATATTAAACATGTGTTGTGTGCAACATAGGATATGCAAACATGCCTAATATGCACAGTGCATAACCCTCCATATCCATATGCACATGCGTGTTTTTAATTCTCCCCTCAATTAATATTATCCATAGATTTGTCTTTTTTAATGCACTAGATTAGTTCTCATGTTCTTACTAGGGCTGGTTCTCATATGATCACTAATATATAAAAATATATATTCACAAATACTCGGGCTCTGGAGGTCAGTGAGATTATATATATATTGGTAAGAGAGGTAAATATAATTTTATTTTCATTTGAAATATAATAGATTTAAAAAAAATTGATACAAACAATTAATATATAGCAGATTCTATATGCAATATATATGCCTTTAAAATTTAAATATAATAGCCCCTCAGCGTACAGACAATTGAAAAACAAATTAAAAACTTGTAATGGTACCATTTTTTGTTGAATCACATCAAGTTTAGAAACTGGAAGATGCAATGGTTTTGCTGAGGGTACTATAATAATTAATTCATCAGCTAGCAGATTAGATTTTAACCCATCTTGCATTGCAAGCCCACTACACCAAATATGGTATTTAGCAGCGGTTATAAACCGTCATGATTGTGTTTTTGGCGGTTATTCAACTGTGATTAAATAGTGTGTCGGATTTAGCGATAGTTTTCTAAAATCGCCGCTAATATTTATTTAATATTTACTTTAAACTTTAGTGGTGGTTATTAAGTGTCGCTAGTAAAAGAATACTTCTTAATTCTAGTGTTATAAGCATTCCATTTAATTTCTTGGTTAGTAAAGTACGTAATTGAGACTAATAAGTCGATCTGATATGAGTTCCAGAAACACTTTAGAGAAGTTGAATGGATTTTGATGCTGTAACCAGTCTAATCAAAATAGTAGAGCAAGACCTTATGGAGCCCAAACTACTTGCACTGCGCGAAACGATTGAGTTGCTGTCTTACAATCTCCATTTTCTGCAAGCCGTTTTGATGGAATGTAAGACGAAAATGAATAACGGGGCTAGTGCTCAGAGTCTGTATACAGATGTCCGAGTTGAAGTTGCTAGAATATATGAATATAGTAGTATGAAGCTCATATATTGCTGGAAAGGGAATTCAGTTAAGACTTATGAAGCTATTCATTATCATCGCTTGAAAATAATTGTAAGAGCTATTGAGAATGTTAAAGACAGGATCCTGAAAGAAAAAAAAAGTGCTGCTTTAGAGGGTGAAGAAGAGAAGAACATCACAATTTGGGATACCTACCAAAATGCTTTAAACACTGAGAATGAAGTGATTGTAGGAATCAACAGTGATATAGAGAAGATAGTTAACCGGCTCTGTTATTCATACTTCATGGGATCAGTTTTAACCATTTTAAAGAATAGTAACATTGACATGTTTCGGAAATATGAGCTGAAACTACAAGTTATGCCACTCGTTGGGGAAGGAGGCATTGGAAAAACTACATTAGCCAAAAGAGTCTATGAACATCCAATTACTATTGCTAGCTTTCACATTCGAGCACATGTAGTTGTGTCTAAAGTTCATAACGTCAAAGAGATGCTCATTGGTCTATTACATTGTATTTCACCAATCACTAGTGAAATCTACAACATAGATGAGGCTCAGATAGCTAAGCAACTAAGCACAAGTTTGATGGGCCAGAAGTATTTAATTTTCTTGGATGATATATGGACCACTGCTGCATGGGATGCCATCCAAGGATATCTTCCAGAGAATTTTAATGGAAGCCGAATCTTAGTAACTACTCGGTTCAAAGAGGTGTCTGAATACTTAAGTACGAATCCCTACCAAGTGAAGTATCAAACTTTGCAGGATCTTGGGAAATTATTTTCAAGGAAAGTGTTTGGGCAAAGCCAATGTGTTCCCCGTGAATATGAGCGAATTGTGAAACACATTGTTTTTGGTTGTGGTGGATTACCCCTCGTAGTTGTTTTAATTTCCGGACTTTTGGCGACAAAAAAAGGGTCTCTAAAAATATGGAGAGATGTTGCCCAAACTTTGGATGGAGTTGGTAGATATGATAATAACAAAAGAATTTCAAAAATAGTTTCATTAATCTACAAGTACTTACCAAGTCATTTGAAGTCTTGCTTTCACTATTTTGGTGTGTTTCCAGAAGACAGTGACATTCCTGTTAAGAAATTAATCAACTTATGGGTTGCAGAGGGATTTATAAAGCCACATAACAATATGAGTTTGGAAGAAGTGGGAGAGAGCTACTTGCATGATCTCATTAATAGAAGTGTAGTTCAAACTAATGAGCTAAGTATTGACGGCAAAGTTAAATCATGTAACATTCAAGATCGAGTGCACGAGGTTTGTGTGAGAGAAGCAATTGATGGGAATACATTGTGCATTATCAATGATAACCATGCTCCAAAGGCTAGTCATTGGTTAAGCTGTCAAACAAGTCATTGGCCGATCACTCAAGCGAGTTATGGGAATTGCATGCCAGATAAAATCCATTCTATTCTCTGTTTTGGTAAAGATGTATACCATTCAAAATGCAGGTTGGTATACCCTTGTGTGAAATTGCTAAGAGTATTGGATTTATCATTAGTTAAATGGTCAAGAGGCATGCCTAGCGAAATAACAGACTTGGTTCATTTGAGATACTTGGCTTTAAGTACCATTAGTTCTCTTTACGAGTTTCAATTTTTCAAGCTTAAGAATTTGGTAACTCTCATAGTTGCTTCGTGGATGGAAAAATGTCCTTTGCAACTGCCATGTGGTATTTTGGATTTGCCACAATTGAGTCATTTGCATGTTGACAAGAGATGTTCACAGTATCTCCCTTGCTTTGTCAAAAAAGATCTACAAACTCTTTATTGGTTGAAAGTTGCTAGCTCCGACGAAAACCCAAACTTCGGAATGGTTCCAAACCTAAGGGAACTTGGGATTTTCATTGAAGGCCAACTTGTGTCTAACTATCTTGGGAGCCTTGTGCATTTGCATCTACTTGAGAAGTTGAAGTTTGAAGTAGGAAGAGTTGAGCGCTTTTATCTACCAACAGGTTTTCCACCAAACCTTAAGAAGTTGACACTTCGGTATACTTATCTTCCATGGAAGGAGATGGACACAATTGGCAAGTTGCCTCACCTTGAGGTACTTAAACTAAAAGATTTCGCCTTTTGTGGCCCAACGTGGGAACCATCGGAGCAGGGCTTTCGGGAATTAAAGGTACTTCTTATTTCACGTTCAGATCTCAAACATTGGAATGCAAGTTATAAAAGTTTCCCAGTTTTGGAGCGCCTTGCCTTAAGATATTGTTGGGAATTGAAACAAGTTCCAAAGAAGTTTACAAGAATTCGAAGACTAAAATTAATTGTGTTAGAAAGTTGTTATTCCTCTCTTGTGACTTCTGCAATGCTGATTTCTTCTGTAAAAAGCAGAACATTAAAGGGAAAGACTCCACTTCGTGTTCGTAAAGTTGGAACTAAGGTTTCTCTCTAATTCTTGTTCATTATTTCATAATATTAGTTTTCTGCATTCTAATTCCATGTATTCATTAATTATTTGCATTTTTACTCATTTTCAATTACTTTTCAAGGATGAATTGCCTATTATTGAAAGCTCCGAAGAAGAAAGTGTCAGAAAACTCTAATGAAGAAATGTTGAAAGCTGATAAGAGTGTAATGATGACATATCTGAAGAAGTTATTCTGGTGAATGCATTGAAGAAGAAAGTGCAGTGACGGGGGAACGGTTATTCTGATGTGTTATGTTGCAATTGAATTTGAACTTCACTTTATGTTTCAGCTTGTAAGTTCATGGCTGAAGTTTATTGCCGAATAAGTTCTCCAGTCGATCTGTTGCCTTTCATGAGTTGATGCACTGGCAGATTGGTGGGATGGTGATTTGTCTCTTTGGTTGGGAGAAAACAAACAGAAAGTAATTTTGGTTTCCATTTGATCTGAACAATTTCAGCTGTGTGTTTGTTATGATGTTTTTTTCTGCTCCAATGGCTAAAATGTAAGAGTTCTACTACATAAACTCCCAAAATTCTACTCCCTCATTTATACTCCCTGAGGTGGCAATCCAGGATTGGTTATTTTCATCATGTGGGTCCACAGAAAAATGTCTACATCAAGACCATGTGAGAGGGAGTACAAGTTGGGAGTTTAAAATGGGAGTACACCAAGTATTTTCCAAAATGTAATAGTCAACTGTTCAATTCACTATTCTTTTACAACATATTCAAATGCTTTTTGGTGCCAATGAAACCTGCATTCATGTAGGACCTTGAGTGACCCAACCAAACTTTTTATTTGCAAATTAACAGAACCTAAGTTTTTTTTAGCTAAAATGTTTAAATTCTTAAAATTATAAATAAAAATTCAAATTACCAATTACATCAATACCTATAATAATAAATCTATAATAAAATATACAATAACAACACTACAAATATAAAAGCATAAATTTAAAAAGTGTAAGTATAAATAATTGTTAACCAAATAAAGAATATATATATAGAATTTCAGTTAACCGATATCTTCGAACCGAATTAACCGTTAACTAAAATTCTATAAATCCTGTAACCATTAATCAAACTGAATTATTTCAATTAAAAAACGATTAATCAAAATTCTTCAGTTAAGTAGGTTAATCAAAATTTTACCAAAGTTTGTACACTGTTACTCGAAGGTTTTCTCACCTATTGGAGTAAGTGCACTAGTTTTTTGGATGGATTCTTCTTTTAGATCCACTTGAGTATTTATCATAGCTAGTCCAGTTTGCCTTTTATGAAAGAGTGGATTAATATAAGAGAATAATTAATGAATTGAATGTTGAAAAGTTAAATAATGTTGAATTGTACGAGTAGTTATGCTGTGCATTCATATGCACCATGCATGGTGCATACGGATGCAAAAACGCCGTCGTTTTATTAAAAACGCGCGTCTCCCCTTAAAAAAAAAAAAATTCAGGTTCGATTCCTAGCAACAACATTATTTTGTTCATTCATTCTGGAATTTTAGTTCATAGATTATGGAATTTTAGTTCATTGATTATGGAATTATAGTTCATCGATTCTGGAATTGTAGTTCATCGATTCTGAAATTTTAGTTCATAGATTTTGGAATTTTAGTTCATTCATTCTGAAATTTTTAGTTCATAGATTAGATTCTGGAATTATAGTTCATCGATTATGGAATTATAGTTCATCGATTCTAGAATTTTAGTTCATATGTTGTTGCTGGGAATCGAACTTATTTTTTTTTTTAAGGGGAGACGCGCGTTTTTAATAAAACGACGTCGTTTTTGCATCCGTATGCACCATGCATGGTGCATACGGATGCACAGCATAATTTGCCGAATTGTACGTGTTGTCTCAAGGGCTATATGTTCGTCTCCATGGCCAGAGACGAAGAGAATCTTCGTCTCCATGGCCAGAGACGAAGAGACTCTTCATCTCTATGGCCAGAGACGAAGAAGGTTCTTTGTCTTTGGCCGGAGACGAAGAAACTTTCTTCGTCTCCGGCAGAGATGAAGAAAATATTTTTTTATTATTATTTAATTTTAATTTATTATTTTTAAATAATAATTTTTTTAGAAATATTTTAAATTGTTTGGGTGACCTGTTACTAACCTACAAAATGTGTAAATTAGATTAATTGAATGAATTTGGTTAGTTTAGTGGCCTAATTGTTGTTTTTTTTATGTTCAGTGGCCTAATAGCATTATTGTGTGTAGTTCGATGGCCTATTTGACCCTTATTCCACAACTAATTAAAGGTGACAAAGTATTTAGGGGGCGTTTGGTTCAGGTTATATAACATAATCAAGGGAATGTGACATTCCAAAGCTCACATTCCGGTGTTTGGTTCATATTATCTTAAGGAATCTAACATTCCCAAAGAATGTCACATTCCCTCCACATAGGATTTTGAAGGGAATGTGATTCCCTTCAAAATCTTAGGTAATGTAAGATAACCTTAACTTACCACTTACAGAGTATGACAAGGAGAGAACATAAAATTTACAAATTCCATCTGATTTCTTTCTTCAATTTTTTTTTTTTTTTCTGATTCCTTCTTCATTAACACACATGATGCATAGGATTTCAATATATGATCTATCATCTAACATTGATACTTCAAAAATATCTAAAATCATAATAAGCTTCAATCCAGGTTATACCCCTGGTTTATGTCCCTTTTTTCAGTTAATTTTTTTTGTACCTTGTGCTATAAAAGTTGTACTACATAATTTTTTGGACAAAAATATCCCTACCGTTATAACTTCTGTTATCTTTCCACATTATTATTACCATGTACATGCATACACAATATTTTTTCTTACATCCTTCAATGATAAGTTTGAATTCATTTAGGTTTTAATTAAAATGTTACCATAGTTATATTTAGTTATATTTAGGTTTTCACCAACAAAAAAGAAGTTATATTTAGTAACTAAATCTATATATATATAAAAGTAAAATCCTCCTTCACAAATTTTCCCCCCAAAATTTAGGGGCATTTGTGTAATATCCAAATTTAATTAATTAAAGAAATTATATATAAGATTTTAAGGGATATTCCATGTGCAGATTAAGTAAATTAAAGAAATTATATATAAGATTAAGGGATATTCCATGTGCAGATTAAGTAATAATATATATTAGGTTAGAAATTATATACAAGATTAAGAGATATCAAGTATTAAGTAATAATATATATTAGGTGTGTGAATAATATATATTAGGTAATTGGTAAAGTAAAGTATTAAGAAATTTACGTGTATACATACATTTATAAAGTAAATTCTGTGTAGTAAATTAGGTTAATATAATTATAATTCTCATATTTTCTACCTATAAATACAATGGATTGGTGAGTTTGGAAATCACAATTTTTCTTTTTGCACTGTTTCCATCTTCTTTCTCTGTTCTCTCTGTGGAGTCATATCTTGGTGTTGCACTCATAAAAACGTAAGTATTTTTTTTATACAGTTTTCAAGATGATTATTATTATTATTATTATTATTATTATTATTATTATTATTATTATTATTATTATTATTATTATTATTATTATTATTATTATTATTATTATTATTATTATTATTATTATTATTATTATTATTATTATTTTGCAAATGTAGCTTTAAGTGTTTTTAGTGCCGAAGGATCCAACGGATTGGGCGTTGATGGAGACCCTGGTAACATTGACTACAAAGCTGATTTCTTAATTTTCAGATAGCAAGGAAGGACCGGCGTTTTCCTTATTAGAAATCAAACTCTTCTTCTCCTCACAGGCAACGAAGCGCTTTACCGAACCGGAAATTGATTTTTTTCATATGATGAGTTTCAATTTATTTGTGTTCATCTATCTCTAACTCTTGGGTTTGTTCAATTGCACATGTAGGTCCAAACATAGATTAAAGATATTATTTAGTATCCCATGTGTAATTAATGTATAAGAAATGTTGTAGAATATAATGGTACTCTCATATCATAATACATACTCCAGTTTGAAGTAGAATCCAGATTTCCTACAAATAAAAATCGATGATTAGGAAAATGAAGTTGATAGTATTCAAAAAAAATTAAAAAAAAAATGAAGGTGAATATGGTGTTTATTATAGATGAAAAATGATAATACTAATAATAATCAGTAAAAAAGTTAGCAGTAAAATAGAAAAAATAAAAAAAAAAAATCCTTAATTTATGAAAAATGGAAAAGGAAATGAAATTCACTGATTAATTAGTACTAATAATAATCAGTAAAAAAAAGTTAACACTGAAATAAGAAAATAAAAAAATAATACGCAATTCACTGAAAATGGAAAAGTAAATACAATTCACTGATTAATTAATACTACTAATAATAAGTAAAATAGGAAAATAAAAAAAGATCCTTAATTCATTGAAAATGAAAAAGGAAAGACAAGATTGTGCAAAAAAAAATGTCATAATAACGATACCAGTAAAAAAGGCAAATAATAATAAAAATTACTAATTATTAATAATAATAAGGATATGAAATTAAATTAATAATAATATTATTATTATTATTATTATTATTATTATTATTAATGAAAATAAAATCCTCCTATGTAGTTTCCATTTTGAAGTAGTTTCCTGATTTCCTACAAATTAAAATGGATGATTAGGAAGATGAAGATGATAGTTTTCAAAAAAAAAAAAAAAAAAAAGAAGGTGAATATGAATTTGATTATAGATGAAAATAATATGTGATTATGCTGAGGCATGAAAATAATTATTTTTTGAAATTAAGTAATTTTTATTTTAGCATATCTTA